GAAGGGTTAGGTCAAGCCTGAGATTGGATCGGAAAAGAGGCGTACCTGCTCGTTCCATGCATCCCGCGCTGGAGAAGAGAAAGGAGCAGAGAATCTGGAGAAAACGGAGATGAGACGAAGGATCGATAACAAGCTTCAAAACTGACCTCGTCCGAATGGAAACCAAAGGGCACTGGCGGCGGGCTATTAACCACTTACCCAGAGCTGCTTACCCAAACGACATTAAGTAGCCGCGGGGAGACATCTCCTCGAGCAAACACAAGTCGGAGGGGGGACGCTAATCCAAAGGAAACTCGCCTGCGACTTCGGCCCTTATATAGACGGTTTCTTTGCGCATGTGTGGATATCGCCTGATTTGGACCAATTGATCGCGAGTCAGGGCTTCTGCTCTGAGTTCTTGCCTCCAAACCTTCATGGCACCAGACCGCAATGGGTGTCAAGTCCCTATGGAAGCTCCTCTCGCCCGTCGGCAGACCCGTAATGTCGCGGCTCTCCCGACCGTGTCTTGCTGTCCGTGACTGAGACATGTGCTATTAGGCTCGAGACCATGGAAGGCCAGGTAATGGCTATCGACTCGAGTATCTGGATCTACCAATTCCAAGCCACTATGCGCGATAATGACGGGCGGGCACTCTCGAATGCGCACGTCCTTGGATTTTTGCGGCGAATTGCTAAACTCTTGTTCTACGGCATTAAACCTGTCTTTGTGTTTGACGGAGGGGCTCCTGCTTTGAAGAGGAATACTCTCGTGGGTTGAAATCCTCTCTCAGAATATTCTACACGCTCATTACTTGTAGAATGAGCGGAAAAGAAAAAAGGCCGGGGCGGCCATAAGCCACGCCAAGCTGGCGGAAAAGCTCCTTGCTGCTCAGTTGAGGCGAGAGGCTTTGAATCACACCAAGGGGGCGCAGTATGCATCCTTCTTTCTCTCTGACTAGCCAAGTCTCATATTTTAAACAGGAAGCCGGTGAAAGGAAAAGGCAAAGCGCCTAGCGGTCCCGTCGTGCTCGATGATAACACTGTATATCTCGAGGACATTGACTCGTCAATTCCCAGGACGCCTGCCCGAAAGGCAAATGCGGAGCCGTCGTCTGTATCGCCTAGCAAGGCCAAATTCCATGATCATGATCCATACCACCTTCCAGATATCGATCTCGAGGCTGCCGTCGCCTCTGCAACTCGAGCTGCAGTTCCCGATCCCCGTCTGGCTACCGAGGATGAACTCCGCGAATTTATAGAGGATATGCGTCCGGAAGACTTTGATGTTACCTCCCCTGCGTTTCGTGAGCTCCCAACCGAAGTCCAGTACGAGATAGTCGGAGACCTCCGCCTCAAATCCCGACAAACCTCGTACGCTCGCCTGCAGAATATGCTCAAGAGTGCGCCTACACCGCTCGACTTCTCGAAGCAGCAGATCCAGAATCTGCGGCAGCGAAACACCTTGACGCAACAGCTGTTAATGACCACCGACAGCATGGGAAAGACGAACATTACCATTCCTGTTCGAGTCGCCAGTGAGCGCAACAGAGAGTATCTGCTGATAAAGAATGAAGGCCACGAGGGTGGATGGATTCTTGGTATCAGAGACGACGGGACACGCGACAAGCCGATAGAAATCGACAAGGACAGCGATAAGGGTGATGACGATATAGTAGAGGGCGACAGCGACGAGGATATGGAAGAGGTTCTAATGTTTGCGTGTTTGCCTATACGCTACCATGTCCCTAATTTCCTGATATTTAGACCTCAGCCTGGTGTACCAGACGCCGACTTGCAAGAATACCAACGGTCTATGAATCTTGCGGCTATCGCCAATCGCCAAGCGCCTAAAAGGTCTGCGCCCAATCCCCCAAACACAGTTTCTCGCCCACTCTTCGATCTCGACGATGGCAACGACCTAGTTCCCATAATTGATGACGACGACGACGGGGAACTGGCCTTTGCGATTCAACAGTCCCTCGATCAAGCTAATGCGGGACACCGTCCGCGAAGGCCTGCGATGGACAATGCGGTCGCGTCGTCCTCGAAGCTTGTCGACACCACACCACGGAGGGCTTCCGACCCTGTTTTCCAATATCCTCTCCACGACGAGGATGTCTTTCTACACGGAAACCGGCTGGAGACCGCACTGTCGATAGCCAACGCAGGGCCTGTGCGGACGCCGACGAGACCTGCAGCAAAGCCCTCGAGTTCGTTGTTCGGGGAGTCGGTCTTGCTCCAGGCTACTCCGCCTGCACCACCGAGAGCAGCGCCTTCGCCTTTGGCGAGGCCCGCATTTCAGCTGGGACCTGTCATTGAAGCGAAAACAGGAATGGAGGCAGTTCCAGCGGAGCCGATATTTGGGAAGCCGATTTTACTGAAGCCGAAGACCCCCGCCTCCAGCGACGTCCCCGCCTCGTCCCGCGCCTCAAATTCAAGCGGACACAGGACCTGTGATTGAAGCGAAAACAGGAATGGAGGCAGTTCCGGCAGAGCCGATGTTTGGGAAGCCGATTTTACTGAAGCCAAAGACCCCTCCGCCTCCAGCGACGTCCCCGCCTCGACCCGCGCCTCAAATTCAGGAAATGCAAGCGGATAAAGGAACGGAAACAGCTTCGGGGCAGCCAATATTTGGGAAGCCTTTATTGCTGCAGCCGAAGACCCCTCCGACTACAACGATGCCCTCGCCTCGTTCCGCGCCTCAAATGCAGGCAGATCCCGGTGATCTTTCTGATGAGGAGATGGAAGAAATTCTTTCTGTTTTCTCGGCGCCGGAAACGTCCCGCGCAGTCCCGCTGACGGCTATCGCGAGCTCTGGCACGAACACCGAGCAAGAACGTATCTCTATAGACAGGGAACCGGCCACTGCAGTGGCTACAGTTTCTTCGTCTGCGGCAACAGTCGTAGAGGTCTCTCTCTACAACGATACCCCATCCTTTTTCACCCGTCCTAGCCCAGAGTCCACACCCTTTAGTGACTCCTACACACTCGTCGGAAGAACCTCCGTCGAGCCTCCCGCAACGTCCCCCGTAAAGGCAAGAGACGATCCACACGACGACGAACCAATCAGTGACTGGTCAAGATCCCCGTCGCCGATTCTCGGGTTAGAGCAGCCGCAGCACGAGCCCCTTCGCCGGTCGCTGAAGATTGGGACCCGGCCCAAGAAATGGATGCCGACGCGGAGGAAGGTGGATTTGCACAGTTCATGTCGCACGTCAAAGGCAAGGATCTGGACGAAGTGCGGCGAGAAATAGACGACGAAATCAGGGTCTTGAATACGCAAAAGAAGGCGGCCATGCGCGATTCAGAAGAATCAACCAGCAAATGATATCGCAAATCATGGTGAGTGCACATTGCGGCGAATTGGAAGCCCATCTCTGAGCCGCGAACAGATGATGCTGAGCTTGTTTGGCATTCCGTACATCACCGCGCCGATGGAAGCTGAAGCGCAGTGCGCCGAGCTCGTCCATCTGGGCCTGGTTAACGGCGTGATCACAGACGATTCCGACGTGTTTTTATTCGGCAGCCAGCGCGTTTTCAAAAACATGTTCAACCAGTCGAAAACGGTCGAGTGCTTCCTGCTCTCTGATCTGAGTCGTGAACTGGGTCTGGATCGCGACACCCTGATCAGGCTCGCGTATCTGCTCGGCAGTGACTATGTCGACGGGCTTCCGGGGATTGGGCCAGTGGTGGCGATGGAGCTTCTTGGCGAGTTTCCTGGCCAGGACGGGCTGCATAAGTTCAAACATTGGTGGACGAAGGTCCAGTCTGGGAAAGACCGGCCTGAAGATAATAAATCCAAATTCCGGAAGCGATTTGTAGGTGTTGCAGGGTCGTTCAATGTTTCTGCATTCATGGTTTCACGACAGAAGAAGAAGTTCAAAGATCTCTACCTCCCTTCAGAATGGCCCAATGCTACTGTGGTACGCTGTCGTGTGCTGCTACCATCAGCTGATAAATAACGTTTTACAGAGGGATGCTTATTATCACCCCACCGTCGATGAGTCGGATGAACCCTTTAAATGGGGATTGCCTGATCTCGATGGTCTCCGAGAGTACGTGGCGAGGGCTTAACTTTTTGAAGTTTCATTAATTCGAGCGCAGGTTTCTTTATGTCGAGCTCAGCTGGTCGCCTGAAAAGGTCGACGAGCTATTGTTACCCGTGATTCAAAAAATCCGCAAGCGTGGACAGGTAGAAGACACCCGTCGTTGCTGTAACCTATAGCTCACAAGCCCATAGACCGGCGCACTGAACAAGCAGGGAGATCTGAACGGGTTTTTCGATGTCACAGGAAGTGGGAGTGCTGTTCCGCGGAAACGCCAAGCATACGACAGCAAGCGTCTGCAACAAGTAGTATCCGAGTTTCGAAAAAAGCGGAAACATGGTTCAAAATCACCGGCGGCAGGTGCTCAAAGTGAGAATTCTCAATCGGAGGATGATATCCCTGTCAAGAAGAAGACCAAGACCGGCAAGGCTAAAACGGTGTCGGTCGCGAAACGGGGTACTGCTCGAGGACGTGGGCGTGGCGCGAAAAAGAGTACTTCTCGGAAGAAGGTGATCTCTGACGACGAAGCAGAATTTCAGAGTGCGGAGGTGAACACAGTCCCGGAGTCAGGGTCTGCCGGGCGCCTCCGTCCCAGGCCGAAGCCAGCTTACAAGGGGGCTCTAGTGGAGGACGTAGAATTTGTAGACGATGGTACATAGTCTTGAATATGAAAGCTATGAGTTGGTTCATGGTATAGAAAACTTCATTAAAGCCCCGACTTAGATTTCAAGACCCCAAAAAGAGCCAAAAGAGGCGTTCCAGGGCTGTCGGTCGATTGGACAAGGACTCCAACAAAGAACCAAGGACGAGAGAAATGGGATGAGCCCGTTTCGATCCAGTGACCTCCGATTTCCGAGCTGGATCGTTTTTTTTGTGGGGGGGACGTGAATTTTTTGTTACCTGAAGGAAAAAGTTGCAAAAAGTTCTTGAGAATGTGAAGCGAACAACAATTGTAGGGTCGAAACCAAAAAGAGGTAGCAGCAACTCGTTTCGATCGAGTGACCTCGGGGTTACATGAACGATATGGGCCCCGCGCGCTTCCAACTGCGCCATGCTGCTATAATCACCTATTCAAATAATACTATAGGCCTCCATATTCAAAGAATGCACTAAGTCGAAAGGGGCTCGCCAGAAAACCGGTAAAATGCAAGAGCTGACTGATAAGGGAGGTTCGATGCTCAAAGCGCAGTTCCCGCGCACCTTCAACTGCTTCATGGTCATCTGGTAACACCTGGGCTCATTCAATGGCGATACAGGACCATTGGGGGGCCTTTAAAAACAAGATATATGTAGTGCCCCAACTAAATTGGCCTTTATTCAGCTATAAGCAACCGTTAGACATGAAAACTTTCAGTGCGTGGTCAATGAATCCCCCTCCTCTTTAGTGACTGCGTGTAGAATAGCACGGGCCTGGGCTGGGAGAGAACCAGCGTTATCGCCTGATTAGGACGAGAGCAGTTGTTGATATATGTGTACTTATGTGGCCATCATTTCTGATCGCTCGATTTGCCCTTGCCAGCAAGCCAACTCTATCTCATCGACCCCACCCTCCGTCTTACCTCGCAAAAGAATGAGTCGAAAGGGAAGCGTGTTGGGCTGTACAGTACCAGGGATATCTTGCCGCGTGCCTGCAAGTCGGCACTCGACCAAGTATTTTTCGCGAAGCAATGGACCTACCAAGTATTCTCGCGATCCGAATGGACACAGCGGACCACCACCACATCTTTCTTGGGGACCGATCACACATATTTCTCGCAAAGTACGGCGCCTTTCTCAATACACCCTGGAATGAGTAAAATGCATCAAGTTGTTGCGTTCGCAGTCTCCGTGCACCAAGTTAAAAGCGGCTCCCGTGGACCGAAGTCGGAAACGGGTTTCTGTATTTGCTGGTTTGAATTGGAGCTATGTCCTTGTTCTGACCGAGATTAAACCATGTCAAGCTTAATATGCGAAATAAACCAATCATTTAACGTGCTTTTAGTTGGCTAACCCACAAACGGGCGCCGTCAGCCCGGGGGCCCACGACAAGGGAGCACGAGGAGATGATCCACCCCCGGGAAGTACACTACTACAGGACCCATAACCTGCATCGCCCGTCGTCTTTCCTGCCATCTAAACACGCTCTCCTATTCCGATAACCGCGTCCGCACACCCAAGCGCTCTCCCAGCTCAATACCCGCGTCCGCCCACCCCCGAGTTGTCAAAGTGTCGGTCCGTAGTCGCAGATGCGTCGCCAGCCTGTCGATACTCGAGATGTGGATGAACGACGACCGAGTTTCGGAAGCTCACCGTTGGCTCACCGGAACGAAGAGGACCCCGAAGTCGCAGACGCGTAGGAACTGTGGAAACTCGAATGTGGATGAACGGCGACCTCGTGCGGAAGCTCACCGAGCTGATGGGGGCTGACAAGAGCAAGTGGCTGACGGTGTTGTCGGTGTTGTTGGTTCTTGCGCCAAGACGTCCCCCGGACGCCGAAGAATATGAGGGGCAAGCAAGAAACGTTCCGAGAGGGAGGTGCTTGATGACGCAGTGCACGGACGTAGGGTTCTCCCCTAGCCGCCGAAGGCGCTCTCCCAACTCGATAGCCGTGTCCGCTTACCCCCGCAGGTTGTCGAAGTGTCGGTCTGTAGTCGCAGACGCGCCGGCCAGCCTGTGGGTACTCGAGATGTAGATGACAACGACCGAGTGTCAGAAGCTCACCGGAATGAAGAGGACCTCGAAGTCGCAGACGCGTCGGAACTGTGAAAACTCGAATGTGGATGAACGGCAACCGAGTATCGGAAATTTACCGAGATGGTGCCAACAAGAGAGAAGCTCAGGTGGCTGACGGTGTATGCGGCTGACCGGAGTTGTCGGTTCTTGCGCCAAGACGTCCCCAGGACGCCGAAGAATATCAGGGGCAAGCAAGAAACGTTCCGAGAGGGAGGTGCTTGATGACGCAGTGCACGGACGCAGAGTTCTCCCCTGGCCGCCAAACGCGCTCTCCCAACTCGATACCCGCGTCCGCCCACCCCCGCAGGGTTGTCGAAGTCAATACCAGCTCCAGGTCGTTATGAAGACGCGTCGGGAGCTGTGGAAACACTGGAGACACGAGAGAACGACGGGCGGATGGGGAAACTCACCGAGATGATGGAGGTTAAGAAGAGAGAGGCGCTCTGCGGTGGCTGACAGTTTTTGGTCCCATGTCATCGTGATTGGTCAAAATGCAAACCTCCAAAATCGATCACGGCCACGTGCTCCTATCCGCTGCGAGAACGCTCGCCCACTCGTTCCACGAGGATCGAGAGAGAGACTCTACATTATCATACTCTCGAAGAGGAATCAGGATATTGGCCCAACAACTCATGTGCTCTGGTCGCAAGTTCTAGAGGCTTTTGACTACAGTTAACCATTTTAACAATCGCCCGGCTGCATAGATCGTTTCATTTGAGCGAGTCCTGCCCTCTCCGCATCCCCGAGCCTCGACCAGGAAGACTACCATATCAGGACGGTAGCGGTTGTTTGACGGTGTTGTGTGGTGCGCCAGTTGATCCACGGAGGAACGTACGCGACGGAAAAGCGGAGACTCTGCTCAGCGCTCATTCCGTCACCCACGAACTCCGAGGCTGAGCTGTAACTCCATGGTCCGGGCGAACGGACGGGAGAAGAATACGCTAAAGAACATCAACCCTGAAAGGGAGCGCCTTGAGCAGGCTCGAGCGGCTAAGAACAGTCGAGAGCTGGTATGCCAGCTCAAGCAAGCGTCGGAAATGCAAGTATAAAATTATGACGGGCCAGGGACAGCGGCATCCCAGTCGACGGAGCGTCGTGTCAGGGAAATCAACGGCGAACCACATCCCGTAACGTTTTTTCAAAGTCGGTAGCCGAGTGATGCCTTCCGCTGCACATCAGACGCGCAGGAATCGGAGTAATGGTGGGACGGCTGGAATGTCTCACTGTCTCACGGTCTTAATCGAATTAGCTTTGTTCTTGGAAGGAAATAGCCTAGTTTAGGCACAAATCACGGACGCATCATTCATCGCTACTTTCGGCCTCAGGGTTAGCCTTAAGCAAGGGTCAGGATGATGGAGGAACACATGCGAGTGACGCGTACTTTATGGCCGCCCAACTCCTTTTCGAGACCGCCGAAAGGGTATTCGCGGGGTACCGCGGGACGTTCTGGGACGAGATAAGAGCGCATGAACAGGCCAGCTGCCACGAAGCACCCCGCCGCGATGAAGAACTGGCGGAGGGCTTGCTGGGGCGGAATGACGGGGATGTCGGGGCCCCACATAGAATTGACCTCTTCATGATGATGTACCTTTGGTGCGGATGAGAACAAGGCGAGATGTTGGGGATAAGACGCACCGTTTCGCCAAAGTTGCGGCGCAAGAGCTTGTCCTGCCAGCCGAGGGCTGGACGATACTGGGCCGAGACATCGGGGAGTTCTGGGTAGCCGTTCAGCTGGGGGTTTGGGTCCTTCGTCGGGGTTGCATATCGACGCGCCAGCAGCGGACGAGCGCGGCGTGCAAGCTGGCGGCGGACAAGAGGGATCATGGTGGACCTTAGCGCGAGTTGCCGGACATCAGGCACATGCTGTGCCGAGAATTAAAAAAATCGATTATGGCAGGTTGTAATGCCCTAATCGGGACGCCCGCTCCTCACCCAGACATGTTATGCGTTCGATAACCGAACCCCGTCAATCTTTTTCATCCCCACCGCCATGTCCGCAACCCCCCCGACCCTCCCGCCCCCCCTCCCGTTTGGCTCCGTAATCCAGGCATCCCAGAAGGACGTAATGGCCCTTCTCATGAAGCACAGGGCTAGCCGACGCAGACCCGGCGACGTCCCGTACCCTCTCGAATATTCCACCAACATGATAAATTTGTGAACCCGCTCGTCTGCTTTCTTGACCCTGTCCAATCTCTTTTACAGTGACAACTGGGATCAAATGTTTCTCAGAAGCTGCTTTGGGGGTCTTACAATGCATCAGTTTGACATTCCACCAAGAGTCGTACTTGATCTAGGGTGCGGGGGTGGCTATTGGGCAATTGAAGCAGCAAAACAGTGGCCGGTGAGTCCCATGAACGGCCTTCTCGCGCACTTTTGACGCCAATAGAACGCGCAAATCGTCGGTTTCGACCTCAAAGAGCTCCAACCAGAAATTTACCAACTCGATGCTTATTATATGAGGAGCCTCGAAGACGAGGGGAAATCGGCGCAGACTCTGCCAATAGCGCACGCCATCGCAAGCCGTCTCCAATGGGTGCACGGCAACCTGTCAGTTATTTTGGGGTGCCTGCCAATTCCAAAATTTAATCAGTTATCAGCTTGGACGGGCTCCCCTTTCCTTCCGAACATTTTGATTTCGTGCACATATCGGGTATAGGTCTGGGCGTTCCCGAAGATGAGGTGTGTAGGCAGTCAAAGATGAATTTTTCGTTAACGTACGATATAGTGGCAGTTTGTGCTAGAGGTATGGCATGGTTGGCATTTTTCGCTTCCACATTTTCATCCCTTGATCCAGGAAGTGTCGCGAGTAATGCAGTATAATGGGGTCTTGGAGGTATTGCTTCGGCCCATATCACCGTGATGGCGTCCTTATATGACTTCATTCTAGATTGTAGAGGAAGACCTCATTTTTCCCTGCATGCCTCCACCCCCTTCTCGTCTAGCCACGGCTCCTCGTCTAACCCTGGCTCCTTTGAACCTCGACTTTACCCGTCGCGATCGTAGGGATTCTTCTGCCCCTCCCAGTGCCTTCTCCAGCCGGAGCTCCACCACGGTCCTCTCGGATCCGTGGAGCCTCCCGGACAGTGCCGATGAACACAGCGTTCAAAAAAAGCCCAGTCTGCCGACTCTACCCGAAAGATCTACCGACTCGCTCTCGTCGTCGCAAACCTCGATACCCTTTGATGCTGGATCCTCCGACCCGCTGCTCAGCTACCAAAATACCGCCTTTTTCCCGCTAGATGCAGAGATCGTTACCCCAGACCACCATCCTCAGGACCATACCCGACTTAAAACAGCCTGGGACGCCATGCTCTCTCGCAGATTCCTCGCTGCCAGCGTCATCACCG